ACTCGCTTTGCAGAGAACTTGTGAGAAATAAAAAAAAAATTTTAATCTCCTTGGATTTCACCCATATTTGACAAACTAAACTCACAACCAGCCTAGTTTCTAGTGCATGCTCATCTTAGACAGTTATTAAATTTTAGCTCAGCCATTAATTTTGGTTTCAGCTAAAATGAATAATGTTTGTATAAACCCAAATATATCTGCAGTAATATATTTGTCAAGTTGTTCTGTGGCTACAATGAAGTAAATAGTTTCGAGCTGACTCAGTGCTCATGGGCTCATAGTAACACAAACACAAAACACATTACCCCAGCTGTCAACTCTATGATGTATTCTCAGTGTAATTTTCACATTTCTCTTTGAAATCAGGGAGAAGGCCTGAGTCAATGTCTCTTGAAAGCACTCTTTCATTTAAAATTTCACTTTATTAATGATATTTTTGTCTTTCCTATTTACTGAAATGCTTTTGGTTTATGTACAGTACTTCTGAAAGTTAGATTTAAACTAATGACATTGGCAAGTAAGATAAAAAATTTAATAAAATGTAGAAATGGCAGAAATATATTAATTTAGTACAAATCATAGAATAATATTTGAATGAGTCATTTATAGGTATAACCCAGGGCACTATAAAACTCTACAATGAGACTTATTCTCAGATGCATCTTCATTCTTGGAAATTAAAGGCCACATTTCATTTTTTTCAATATAAATCAGAACTTAAGCAGAATTTATTGGCCTTCTCAGCTGCCAAAGTCCAACAGCATCATTTCCATAAACTCACATAATGAAACTCTGCGATGCAGACTTCAGGCGCGCCGAGCCGTCGCGGGCCAAAAATGAGAGAATTTGAATCCATGTGATCACAGGTCTAGGCAAACAAGTCCCCCCAGCTCTCCCCCCCAGTAAATCTTTGAACATTGTGAAAATGAAGAATATGTTATCGTGACCCTCTGCAACGAAGGGGACGATTAAGCACTACAGTCTGATCTGAAGTTTGGAAATGCCGCCGACAGCTTATCCATCGATTGTGCTGAGAGGCATTTCCAATGCTCCAGTGCTTCTGAATAAAGGACCTCGTGTTCTTTGAAATACTGTGCTTTATTCATTTGTTTGCTAAGTGAACAGAAATTGGCCGTGTGAGGAACTCTTAAGTGCCCTTGACAATAAGCAGCGCATTTGTCCTAGTTTTACCATGTTGTTTAGTTACAGATGAAGTCCCTTGTTTCACATTATGTAAATCAAATAGTCATGTTGCAGCCTCATGCATGATGATGTGATGTTCTGCACGTCTAGAAAGAGCACATAAAATCCCTTTCCCCCTGCATCTGCATACACTTTGCACTCACTGATTCTTGGCCTTGTGGTGAAGATTTGATTTTAGGTTTCTTTAATTTTTTGCATTCCCATATTACTCAGTATCATTTGTTTTGGGTGTTTCTTCTTTTACTGGCAAAGTCAATTGCAAAATAGAACTATCCATTATTTCACACGATTCCCCAGGCTCCTTCCTCACTGATCTGGGGCCCTTATCACAGAGATGATGGTGTTCATCCTCTTCTCTGCGTTCAGAGTAGAAGTCTACTGTATTGATCTCTGTGGTCTTCCCCTTATCCAGTGCTTGGCATGCAAGAAGCACTTAATGAATCCTACCATGTCCAACTGTGTTGGCAGGTTTACTGTGCCACACGACAGTAAAAGGAGCCTTTTATTGTACATTGCCGTGTATGTAAATGTACCCCTAGAAATAAGCAGTATGCAGCCTATGCTCTGCGCATGGTGTCTCTGTGGTGGATTTAATTTCAATATCTTCTAATGCAGAGAAAGACTAACTACTACTTGGTCATTTACTGGTAAACAAGAACGTCAACAAACCTTTTGCATTTTTCTTCATCTGTAGCTCTATTCAGACTCTGAATATGTTACACCACTGGGAACGGGGGTGGGGGTGGTATATTTTCCTGTATCATTTCATGTTGGTTTTGAACCATAGAATCCAGCTTTGCCTAATTTGAGTGCCAGAAGAAGTGTGATCTTTGATTAAAAAAAAATTACCCTCACCCAAGGACAAGCTTATTGATTAGAGAGAGAGGGAGAGAAACATTGATGTGCGAGAGAAGCATCGATTGATTGTTTCTCACATGTGCCCCGGCCAGGATGGAGCCTGCACATGCTCCCGTCCTGGCACATGCGCTGACCAGGAATTGAACTGCGACCCTTGTGTCTATGGTTGGTCGATGTTCCACCCAACTGAACCACACCAGCCAGGACAGTTTTTTTTTTTTTTGATAGATGGAGAAATTCTGTGTAGTACTTAGAATCAACGAAAGCATTGAAGAACCAGGCATCAAGAAAGACAGTGAAGCCCTGGCTGGGTGGCTCAGTTGGTTGGAGTGTTGCCGCGCACACCAGAAGGTCGCAGGCTCCATCCTGGTCAGGGCACAGGCCCAGGCTGCGGTTTCGGTCCCTGGTCGGGGTATGTGCAGGAGGGAACAGGTCAGTGTTCCTCTAGCACATTGAGTTTTCTCTCATCCTCTCTCTCTCTGCCTCTGTTTCTCTCTCAAATCAATAAACATATACTTAGGTGAGGATTTACAAAAAAAGAGACAGTGACGTTAGAGGGGGTTAGAAAAATAAAGACAGTGAGTTAGCACTCTCTAGAAATCTCAGCCACTGGGTTTGGATGATCCGGGGCCATCTCTTATTATAGATCCATTTGAGAACCTCTGAAAAAAATATTATTAATTGCAGTCAAGGTGAATGTCTTATTGAGGCAGTTATACAGCCTTTTAAAGAGTTTGGTAAAACTAGATGCATGATTTATAATAATAGAATAAGGCCTATATGGCTAGTTTCTATGTATATTAAGATTCAAAGTTAAACAAGTTTTACTATTCTTAATTACTATATGGTTGGTCACAGATCGGTTTACTTCCTTTACCTATGTGATAATCTGGCTGAGTAGATAATCAGCAAGTGTTCCCATTTGTAGGCATACAGGAATTATAGAAAAAATGTAATAAAACTCTTTTATATGCAAAGTAAGTAAAAAAAAGTAGTATTCTTCTGAGGTAATGTGGTAGCAATCCTGACAAAAGTTTATTGGACTCAGAAATGTGGGTTCTTGGGTTTAGCTCCCACATGAAGAAAAACCTCTGAGGGTTTTTTAAAAATTATTTATTTATTTATTTATTTTAGAGAGGGAAGGGAGGGAGACAGAGAGAGAGAGAGAGAGAGAAACATCAATGTGCAGTTGCTGGGGGTCATGCCCTGCAACCCAGGTATGTACCCTGACTGGGAATCGAACCTGCGACACTTTGGTTCACAGCCCACACTCAAACTCTGAGGTTTTACGAAGTGGGGAAGTGGAACTGAAGTGATAACACGCAGCCAGAACCTTTCGGTAGCTACCCACACCTTGAGTGAACGTGTGCTCTGGGGAGAACTGTGCACACAAGCCTGGGTCGTCAACAGGGAGCATTCTGTCTCAACCAGGACCCCGGGTTAGGGAAAGCACACCTCGAGCAACACTCTTTCCAGCGATGCATGCAGCAAAAGCCGATAGTAAGCTGCCCTGAAGTGGCCCTCTGTCGTCTTAGACCACACAAGGCCACCATGAATGAGTCTAACTGAATGAATTCACAATGGAATTCCAAAACTCAAAATGACAACATCTTCCATTGTAAAAGCCCAGAATCACAATAAAGAATAACTTTTAAAAAAGCTGACAGATTTTGTTAGAGCCTGTTCTCACGATTAAAAACCCACAAAAAGTTCAAAATGTTAGAATAAGGTGGCTGACAAAAAAAGAACAGTTGATTTGAAAACTGAGGAAAACTAAACATCTCTCAAAGAAATTATACTTAAAATTTGAATTTCTGAGTTGAAAATCAGGTTAGGTACAGTGGAAGGGAGCACCAGTGGGTGGGATGAGGGGTCTGAGGGAACTCTCCCAGAGGCTGCACCGAGCTGCTGAGAGATGGAGACGCAGCTCAGTGCCCCAGAGTTCCAGACGCTGAGACGAGAACATGCCCGTGCTGGAAGGGGCTCCAGGAGAACATGTGCGAGGGATTCGCTAAACAGAAAATAGTAAGGATTTTCATGTGTTCAAGGATCTTCTAATTGAGAATCATACCAAGTACCAAAGAAGATAAAGAAAAGTAAAATCAGCATCTAGACACATCTGGGTGGGACTGTAGAACTACAAATACAAAAAGAAATGTTAAAATTAACCAGAAATCATGGTGTATGCCAATTGTAACTCAATAAAAAAGTTAACCAGAGAGCAAGTGCACGACGAGCAAGGTGACTGCAGATTTTTCACCTATGTTTATGAATGCTTGAAGTTTGCTTTTTGATAGCCATCTCAAAAGTTCACAGTTTGCTATGGAATGCTCTCCATGATATAGTAGTCAAATAAAAAGCAAATTATAGAATGTTATTCATGGTTAGACCCTATGTAAAAATCCTAAATTAGACAGCTATGTAAAAATACTTGAAACTTCATGCCTTATTTAGAGTGATTTTCTCTTTTAAAAATTTTCCAATCTTATCATATAAAATGTTATGTTGTTTTAAATTGTATTTCTCACATTTAAATCTTTAATCTGGAAATTATTTGGGGGTTATGTGAAGTAGAGATTTTAGACCATTTTTCAAACAAGAAGCCATATCCCAATACCAGATACTGTTTTTTTCATAGTAAATAAATGAAATCCTGTAAATTCAAAATAAGATAGATGTTTACTTTTGAAATATTGTCTATGAAATAAGAGAACATGTTTCAGGATTACATCAAGTAAAAAGGTACCATGAAAAATTTAATTGTCATGTTTTCTTAGAACTAAAAATAATTTAACCTCATTTTCAGTTTTATTGAATTCCTGTAGAGATGGAAGTTTACCAGCCATACAACTATTAATTATTCATTCAGCTCTTTATTATTCATACAACTATTATTTGAGGAAAGGTTTTTTACTTCCATTTTATATTTTTCTTTCTAGAAAAGATTTCTGTGTGCACAAAGATGAACCATGTGATACTGTTGGTAAGTGTCTATTCACATTTTTACACTTTTTTTTAAAGTAAATGTTCTTTTTAAGATTTTATTTATTTATTTTTAGAGAGAGAAGGGAGGGAGAGAGAGAGAGAGAGAGAGAGAGAGAGAGAGAGAGAGAGAGAAACATCAATGTGCGGTTGCTGGGGGTTATGGCCTGCAACCCAGGCATGTACCCTGGCTGGGAATTGAACCTTGGCCACTTTGGTTCCCAGCCCGTGCTCAATCCACTGAGCTACACCAGCCAGGGCTACATTTTTACACTTTTGAGCAGTTCTGGGGACCGTGAACACAACTATAGGAGATTATCAGACAGTGCTGTTTTTAATGGAATATATTTTTTAAAGATTTTATTTATTTATTTTTAGAGAGGGAAGGGAGGGAGAAAGAGAGAGAGAGAGAAACATCAATGTGCAGTTGCTGGGGGCTGTGGCCTGCAACCCAGGCATGTGCCCTGACTGGGAATCGAACCTGTGATACTTTGGTTTGCAGCCCGTGCTCAATCCACTGAGCTACGCCAGCCAGGATTAATGGAATATTTTTAAGATGTCAAAGTTATATATTTCCAATTTATGTGTTTAATCATTTGTCAACACTTCAGTTATTAATGACACAGCTTAAAGATATGTGTATACCATATATTTGAAAAAATTTTAAACAATGCTTTAAGAATATAATGAGTTCTTATTTGGTATTTTCCCAGAGATGTACATAAGGGTTTAATAAAATTCTATTATTGTTGGTAAACCAAGGCAAAATATATTGGCAGTCTGATTGACCTTTTCTAGGCTAACAGATTGTTTTTAATTTCTATATGCTTAAAGTTCTTTGCAGTCAAAGAAAGTCCATTCAATTTGCATGACTGATGACAATCTGTACATGAAGTGGTACATTTTCTATGTATTTGGCCTAGATATCTAAAACCCCTTAAATATGACCATATAGCCAATAGAATCCAAGGAACCACAGTTCTAGATATATGCTAATATAAATTCATCTACATAAATTTACCCAACCAAAAATATACAACTATATGTAGGTATAAACTATGTAACTATGAATAGTTTTAAGTTATATAGCCATGTGTAACAAGACATGGGTAAGACAAATGTAAGAGTCATAACCTGTTTTGATGTTACGTGGGGTCGTTTCTACAGGGTAATATCTTTACCATCTTTACCAACCTCTTTACCAAAGAGGTTCTTTGAAAGATTAACAATAAAAAGCATATAAAAACAGAATAAAGGGTTATAGGTGTTTTAAAAAATCATTCTAACTAGTTCCATTAAGTTCTCATCAGCCTCCTCCTATGATTAAAATCTGAAATAAGTGCAAAATAGTTAAAGCAAAAGAAAGCAGAAGAGGATGGAGTGACAGGCATGTTTGGTTCCGAAGGGACTTCAGGCAGAAAGAGAACTGGACACCTAAGCAAAAGCCACCTTGACTCAGGGAGGGTATTCATCATGTTAACTCACGTACCTGCTTCCGGCAGCTTTCTCCTCCTCTTCTTGCCTGGATCTCCATAAACTAAATCTTAATGCTGTGTCCATCAACCCAACCATGGAAACTTTGATCACCAATAAAGCTTGTCCCAAAACAATGACCTCCTCTCCACACAGTGGCTATGTTGCCCTAGAGCCTTCTGTAACACAGACCAATTTCTTGCTTCCCTTGAGCGACCGAGAGAAACAGCAGAATCTTCAATAACCATGCCCCTTCATAGCATGGGCTCTTGTACTAAGGAAGCAACTACTAACGTGAAGCAAATCAAATTGTTTTTGATAATGACTATGTTTCACATCTTGCTAAATCTGCTCATTGAAAATAGCATTCTTTTTGTGATATATGCATATACCATCCAGGAAGCTTATTTCTGGTTTAAAGCCCATTTGATTAACGCAGTACCTGGCTGAGTTTGGACGATCAGGAGAGCGGTGTAGTCAATCCCAGCTCTGTGAGGCCTGCCCATTGGGAGCCTGTGATGGCGCAGGAAATGGGAGGTCCAGTGCCCTTCCTGAGAGCTCTCTGGATTTTTGTGTGCTTAGATTCTTGTGTCACCTCTGGCATCACCGAATCCCAGTTTTCCTTCCTACGTCTAATGGCAGTTCTTTTCCCCAGCCCAAGTAGGAGACAAAGGGTCTTCCTATTTAGTCTTGAGCAGAATAAAAATCTGAAGTATTTCCTTAGAAGAGAGAACATGAAAACTTACAACAACCTCGTTGGAAGAGTAGTCTCTTCATTCCAGTCCCCATTTCCCCCTAACCCCCAAATGTTCTTGGTACATTGACCACGCTGATGCCTGGAGACATGCTTGGAGGAGGTTTGTCGACATTTGTGAGAATAGGCATGACAGCTGCCACCCATCACCCACGCATCTATGCTGTGCAGCAACAATGCATGGAGGAAAAGGATGCTTCTCTGGTAATGGCTTATGATTAGTCCAGGCCCATCCACAGCATTATTTCAGGACCACAGCCCTAAGCCAGTTATAGCAAATGGCACTGCTATGACTGGGACGTGTGACCTGCCACCTGTGTTTGCCTCATTAAGCTGAAGAGAGGGCAATTTTTTATGGTTGAAGCTTGTTCATATATGTCCCCACTGGATGTAAACGGAGAAGCTATAATTGCAAAGGACACCAACCTTGGGATGAATCTGAACTCAAACACAGCAGAATGGAGAGAGGAAAGGGGCCTTGCTCCTTGATTATGTTGTGGAATCACTGCGTTCTCTGACCTTGGGCCCAGTCTGATCTCTGAGCTTCAGAAGGTGTGAGCCAGTAGATATGTTCAGTATTTAAGCCAATTTGAGATTGTAACTTTTATTTCTGTAACTTGCAGCCTAAGGCATAGATCTTCTCTGACATTCATATATGCATTTATAAGAAAGGGGGAATGTAGGACAATATTGATAATTTCCACTATTATTATGAGGGTGCTGGTAACTTGCTCTGTGGCCAGCTAAAAAATTAAACAAGGCATGTGTAGCTTATTGGTTATCTTAACAGCTCTTAATCTCTACTAAAATGAACCAAAAGGGATTTAAGGCTTAAATCAATAAAATGTGTATTGACACACATTTAAATTTTTCTACTTTTAAATCTTTTTTATTTTTCAATGACAGTTGACATATATTATTATATTAGTTTCAGGTGTACACCCCAATGATTAGATATTATATAATCTATGAATCGACCATCCTGATGAATCTCCCACCCATCTGACACCATACATGGTTATAGAATGTTATTGACTATACTTCCTATGCTGCACTCTGCATCCCCATGACTGTTCTGTACCAACCAATTGGTACTTCTTAATTCCTTCACCTTTTTCACCCATCCCCCCACCCCCTCCCGTCTTGTAGCCATCAAAATGTTCTCTGTATCTATAAGTCTGTTTCTATTCAGCTTGTTTATTTTGTTTTTTTTTATTCCATTGTTGATAGATATATATTTATTGCCATTTTAGGGTTCATATTTTTCATCTTTTCTTTCTTCATAAAGGAGACCCTTTAACCTTTTATATAATACCTTTTGGTTGTAATGAACATCTTCAGCTTTTTCATGTCTAGGAAGCTCTTTATCTGTCCTTCAATTATAAATCAGCTTTGCTAGGTAGAGTAATCTTGGTTGTAGGTCCCTGATTTTCATCACTTTGAATATTTCTTGCCACTTTCTTCTGGCCTGAAAAGTTTCCATTGAGAAATCAACTGAGTCCTATGGGAGCTCCCTTTTAGGTAGCTAACCACTTTTCTTTTGTTGCTTTTATTGATTCTCTCTTTGTCTTTAACTTTTTGCATTTTAATTATGATGTGTCTTGGGGTGGGCCTCTTTGGGTTCATCTTGCTTGGGACTCTGTATTTCTTGGACTTGTATGTCTATTTCCTGCTCCAAGTTAGAGAAGTTTTCTATCATTATTTTTTCAAATAGGTTTTACATTTCTTGATCTCTCTCCTTCTTCTGGCCTCTCCATGATGCAAATGTGGGGCTTCTTGAAGTTGTCCCAGAACTATTCTTATTTTTTTTGGATTCTTTTTCCTTTTTGCTTTTCCAGTTGGGTATTTTTTACCCCTTATATTCCAAATCACTGATTTGATTCTGAGTTTCATCTCCTCTACTGTTGATTTCCTATAAATTATTCTTCATTTCAGTTAGTGTACCCTTGATTTCTTTTTTACACTGTTGAAGTTTACACTAAATTCCCTGAGCATCCTTATAACCAGTGTTTTAAATTCTACATCTAGTAGATTGCTTGTCTCCATTTTGTTTAGTTCTTTCTCTGAACTTTTGTTCTATTCTTTCATTTGGGCCATGTTTCTTTGTCTCCTCATTTTGCAGCCTCCCTGTCTTTGTTTCTGTGTATTAGGTAGAGCTCCTATGTGTCCCAGGCTTGGTATCATGGCCTGTTGTAGTAGGTGTCCTGTAGGGTCACCTCCCCAATCACTCAAGCTGGGCACTGGAAGTACACCTCCCATGTGGGCTGAGTATACCCTCCTCTTGTGGTTGAGCCTGGATTGCTGTTGGCATGCCACTGGGAGGGATTTATCCCCAAGCTAATTAGCTGTAAGGACTGGCTGCGACCACTGACCTCTGACTACCATAGAGGATCAGCTGTGCAGGGGCCCACCCCACAGAGCAGGACTTTCTTCTGCAGGACTCTGGTGCTGCTTAGTCTGCCCCTTGAGTGTGTTGCTCATGGAAGTAGTTGGGTGATGGTGCTTTGACTTGATCTAAAGCTGTCCATTGGGTACACTGGCCCTGGGGCCTTCAGGGAGGTGCAAGTCAAATTCAGCCACTTTTGTTCTGCCCAGGGCCAAACAGTTTGAGCTACAAAATAATCTGCAGATGGCTGCTACTTGTGCTGGGCTTGGAGGTGTTCTGGTGAGGTCAAGCTGCACACCAAGGCCAGCTACTGCTAGTGCCAGGCCTGGGGCCACTTGGCAAGAGGTACAGGGCATGCTGTGGCCAGGTGCTGCTTGTTTTACAGATT